AGTGGGTGACCCTGGCCTACTGGTAGAGGCAGGAGAGCATTAAAATGCAGCAATTTGAACTGTAGGTCTTCTGATAGGTTATTATAAGAAGTGGGAATGAAGAAGAGACCTAAAAGGATGAACAGGGACTGTCAGACTGTCTATCCAATCTGCTGCCAATAAAAGGCATGGGTGTCCTGGTTTAGTGGGACGGAATTTTAGAGTCAGTTCTGTGTTGAGGAAAACTGCAATTTTGTAAGGACTACAACACTCTATTTCATGGGAGCAAAGTTGATAAAAACTTTGTTACAAGTTTCAGCTACTACTGGTATGCAGGTTGCCGCAGTGCTCAAGGTCTTCAGTGGTTTTGAGATAAACAGATGCAGAGGCTGAGAGGAATGGAAACCTAGGAGAGGCGGCCTCAAGGTGACCTCAGGCTGACCAATTACTACTATTCCTACCATCAACATCCCATTCACTATAAACTGGGGAGTTTGCTGGGGATGTCCCTTCTGCCCTCTCTTCCTCCCTCCTACTCCTTCTTCCCTCTTCCATGGCTGACATCTCAAGAGGGATGGACTTGCTTACAGTCCTAATCCTGAGGCCTACTCCCTCACAACAGTGGCTAACTGTGCACTTATGATATAACTTATCAATATTAGGGTTTATTATTAAATATATTTCTATTTCAACACACCAATCCTTTCCTTTTCCTGACCCCCACTCCCCAGGTGGGGAAGCAGCATCAGGCGAAGGAGCAACTGCATAAACCATGACAGAGTAGGGTTAGGAGATGAGTGGCACTGGGTATGATGGGAGCAGAAGCAGGAACAGCTGACAGACCAGATGTCCATTTATACAGTAGCTATAAGGAGCCCAGTCCACAACCAGGATCTCACAATATTACTGCAATACCATTAAAGGATGCCAATTTTAGATTCATATGAAGTTTTAGTCAATCACAGAGTTCTCAATAGGGGAAAGAGAAACCTAGCAAAACAAATTGTAAAGCTGCCCCCTCCTATACCCCTTCTCAGCCTCTATGTGGGGAAGTAGGAAAAACCCTCTCACCTGGGTGAGATTCAAGAGGATTTAATTTCCTGACTTCAATAGTCAATTAAGGTGTAAGCCTGCTCATCAAAGACAGGACAGCAGGAAACAGAAATACATGCACATACAAGTGTAGTAACTGATAAGGAAAAAAAAACAACTTAGTATTTTGGGAGGCAATGGCAGAAGAAAAACCTAGAAAATAACAGGAAATAGGAGAAAGAGACCACAGCTCATATATGCAAGTATGTGCCACCGTCTGCTAGAGAAAAGAAGGAAGCAGTGTCTGGAAAGAAAGAGACCAGGAGAACAAAAGCAAGGAATGCAGTAAGTCAGGACTTTGGAGATGAGTAAGTAGTTTGCCATTCTCTTGTACCTGCTGGTGTACTGTCCACCAACCTCAAAGGTGGCTGGCTAGTTTATACCTACTGCTATGTAGGTACCCTTCAGGCTGGAGAGCAATCTACTGATGGTCAGATCTAAGCAAAATCACATCAGTTTAAGTAGATCAATTCTAGGTAGCCCAGTCAGTCTAGAAAAAATCCCTAACAGAGACTTTCAAATGTAAGGTAAAATGTTAGGTGTGAGAAACCTTATTTCATGTCCTTTATCTCAGAGACACGCTTTGATGAATGTAGATCAGTTTAAATAGATTCCATTAAAACAATATAGCTTTTTCCCTGATAGCTAATTTCAGAATACCCATCTTAAGATCGACTTCTTTCCCCTGCTTCTACGCACTTTGTAGAAGTGATGGCAAGTTCAATGCAGATACCACCAAAGGGCACACAAGTTAAGCTTTCACTAAATTTGAAGTGATAACTTAGGTATCATGACTTCCATTTTATTGATAGCTTTTCTTCCCCCAACACTAAAAGCAATTTGCCTTGATCAACAGTGTCATTAAAATCTTTGATCAATAATCCACTCATTCCTGTAAAAGTACCCAGCTGCCAGTTAAAGTGCAGAGAATAAAACTCAAAAGATTTCCCAGGTATGTTTAGATAATGAAACATTTTTGAAGACGCAGTTAACAGAAAAAGGGTAGGAATTTCAGCACACTGTGGAGCAGATTTATTTATGATTCATTCCTTCTAATGGATATGCTTGTTTACAGAGCTTGAACTAGATCTGGTAAAGGTTAAAGATTCAATAAAAGCTCCTGTGATTTCTGTAACATAATGCCAACCCTTGCACAACAATCAAAAACAAAGCCAGCTTTCTAAGAAGACACTGCAGTGAATCCAACAACAATATTTTAAATAACTGGCTGCAAGTGGTTTGGGTTTTTCCTTGTTTTTCATGTAAAAATCTAACAAAAAAAATAACTAGGCTTAAAAAACCGAAACAACTCACCTTTAGAACTGTTGTACAAAATCACCTTTTCCCCACAGCTACAACACTGCAGATCTGATTTCTCAGTAGAAGACATTTTGAGGAAACACAAACTCCTAGACTTCACCATCCCAGATGTCCTCAGCACAGCTACACCCATGACATTTATGAGCACAGCCCAATTCTAGTAGGTCTCCAGTTGCATGAGGTGCCATATCAAGCTGCAAGCATTTCATGCTGTGCCCACCCACCACCTTGTGCGGCTAGAGATCCCCAAGGGCTGGAATACTTTTGCTGGTTTAGATGTTGGGGAATTACAAATCTCACCAGTGACACTGCAAATTGGTTTATTTGGCACCTTCAGTACACCAAGTTCTCCACACACCAACTACGCAAACCACAAGTATTGTAACATACTCACACAGGAGTAGTAAGATTATTCTGTAAGAGCTCATTCAGCCGGTGCATGCTACATTTCCAAGTATTTTGGTCCTATTACTTGAAATGAAACCAGTAAGAATAAATACTACACGTGGATCGCTCCTTTTAAGAAGTCTTTGCTGTAAATGCAAATCCAGCATACCCATCAAGATTTGAAAGCAGACAGTATTTGACTAGATAAACTAAGCAGCTCTCACTAGGCAAAGTGCACTAACAGAAGAGCACCAGAGTAACCTGTTGCAGCGATTACAGTATCTCCACTGCACACCCATCTATACTGCCAAGAATAAAAAGTATACATAATACTGGGACTCCTGCAGCAATGCAACCAAACCTCTGTTCAGAAAAAAGGAGGGGCAAGAAGTGAGGAAAAAAATTACTCCAGATGACCAAGAGGTGACTGTGTTTATTTTACATTTGCCTTTTCTGGACAGCCAGGAGCACTTGAAGGGATGTACAGAAGTGTCTACTGCAGGACTGCTCCCCTCACCACAGCCGTTCCGCTCAACTTACAGTGGCAGAGGAAAGGTACCATTCGCCACGGAGGCAAAAGAGGAAAAAAGGTGAATGTCCCATAGCTCCTACCTCTGAAAAACCCCACGTTTTAACAGATCAGACCCTTCCCCTGACTTGTCCATCTTTTCTCACCAATTGCTTCTGTTTATTCAACTCAGAGGTGAACCTGTGAGAGCGATTAACAGATTTCATTCTGCTCGTGCTGACACTTCAGGGAACTGAGCTTTTCTGCCACGCTATGAGCACTGACTTTTGTGGGAAAATAAGCAAGGGAACGTGAGAAGACAAAAAGTAATGTAGTTCTGTACCACCAAGGAGTAACACACTGCACCTCTACTGATCCGATTTCTCCAGCTCCTCTGATCTGCAAAATACAGAGGAATTTCAGCAGTGACTGAAAACCATGTGAGGCTAAAACATCTTCATTGCTTTGCTGCTGTTCCACAAAAGCGTGCAGCATGAAGAAATTTTTCAGTCTTTCACAATTAGCAAAAGTATGCATTACTACTTAGAAATATAAGACACAGTAGTCCAGGAACTGGATGCATGATTCAGGATTACAATTCCACCAGCCTTTTTCAAAAGCCCTGACACATTATTTACAGAAGCACACTGCTGCACACAGAAACAGTATTCCTCTTAACTGCATAAAACTGAAACCCAGCAAAGCCGCAGGTATTTTTAGAGTGCAAATTTGAAGTAAAGGGGCCTTAAAGAGATTTAGGACTGTCTGAAAGGTAAGTTGACTCAAAAAAGTCCAAGCTAACAGGAACCTAGGAGGAATCCAGACCACGTTCCCTTTAAAACGTGTTAGCACAGTACTGGTTCAATTAAAGATACGCAAAGACATTTAAAAAAAAAAAGAAATCCCACCCACTTTCTTCTATCACAGGATTTTGAATTTCCCGTGCCCCAAACAAATCAAAGGCTGTTTTTTTGCCTTCCAGTTTCTCCCCTCCTCCCTCTCGCAGCTTTCTACCAGCTGAGCCTCTGCAGCTGCGGCAACAACAGCCCGCCTGTGGCAGCGCGGCCACCGCGGCGGGACGGCTCCTGCCGGGTCACCCACCCGCTTCCTGGTGCTGTAACAGAGGTGGAAAATTGTGAAGGGGCTTCCCCTCCCTCCCCCTTTTTTTTTAACTGAAAAGATACTGAGGAATATTCATTACTAGTCCAAGGGCGTGAATTTTCTTTAGAGGACTGGAAAGGAATAGCAAATTAGGCTAGTACAATGGGAGATTTTGACTCAGTTCTCTGGTCTCAAAATACAGCTGAAAACTAAGATTTTTGCAGAAAAGAGACTTGATGACAGCAGAAATAATAATAATAATAAAATCTTCCCAGTGCCACCCTGCTCCTCACGGCTGTGACTCCGCTGCCCCACCGATTGATTCCCAGTGCCACCGGGGCACTCGGGGCTCCTATCTCCGCTT